AGATACCTAGTGGAAAAAAGCCAAGGGTGGTCAAGCTAAGACCTGGAACGAGGGTATGAAAACCCTAACCAGGAGATTGGCTCACATAAATCACTTTAGGCTCCCTGGCCGGGGACCTCGGGATGATCGTAACCGATGGTAAGACATTAAGTGATATGGCTGAGTTTCGTAAAGAATGGCGTTCGTGCATCTTCTTAATTTTTTTGTAACATTAGTCCACTGAACTTCTCCATTTTCTATTAGACTCTACTCTCAGTTTGCCTGTCTTTCTCCTATTGTTCATCCAAATGGGCGGTCAAAAGACAGCAACCAAAACCGGCGTACGATAGCGCATAATTCCCTTGCTCAAGAGACACTTCGAACATTTAGGTGTCTGCTAGCTCACCTGCGTTGTGTTGCCCTTACATGATGAAGGGAATTAGGTAAAAATGGATGAATCACGTGGAGACAAGATTTGAGGAACTTCACTAAGAGATTGGGTAGATTAAGCATTTCATGTGTTCCAGAATGGAATCTCTAAGAGTTTGTAACCAATTGATGGGAAACACTGAAGTTCATGGCAGCGAACCGATAGTAGTGGAGTTCAAAATTTATGAACTGTTGTGTATACTGTGAACGCATACCCGAATAGCCAAGCTCAGCGTTGTGAACGTTAATACTTGATGGGGTTAATTTAAGCTGTTATTCTTGCAAGATTCAGTAAATAATGCGAACGCTGGATGTGTTTGCGGGGGGAGGGGTACTCAACGAGCGACAGAGAGTGATGAAACGGAAAGTGATTAGTGGCTATCACATTTGGAACGCTTGAAGTTTGCAGGTCAATGGGGGCAGAAAACGAGAAGGGTCATGAACCAATAGGATCTGTGCGAAATGAATACTCCAGCTCTCAAGCTTGATCAAACTAGTTTCAAAGAGGTAATTTGCACAGTCGGACTGTTTACTCTGTGTGGTGGGGCATTTTCTCTTATTCCACTCAACACGATCCCAGATTACATTCAGTGAACNGTGGATCAGCCAAGTTCTTTTGACTGCATTTCACTATCCGAGTGATAAGCGTAGAAAGCCGACCAATCTATCCCTGTCATTTGATATCGGTTGATTTTCGGAATTTCCGAATTGTGCATGTGCACCGCGGATTTTCGTTTGTCTTAGTTGCCTGTACTCGGGCGTTTTGAACCTCCTGTTTCATCCTGTATACACAATAGTAAAGGGTCATTCCCACATTTAACTGTGGATAAAATACCGAAATTTGTACATTATTTTTCTCCGTTTCTTAGAAGACATTGCTCATAATGGCCTATTTTGTTTACCTTTTGAAGTCGGTTCCAGTGACCACCTGGCAGGTTTAGCATAATGAACCAATCCGGTGGCTGTTGGTCAAATGATTCCATCAACACACTTGAATGTTCACGCATGCTTAGCCGAGTAGAAGTTTAAAGACCTATTCTACATACTGTTTGTAGCTTGGGACCAAGTAGCCTTTTCTGTTCATGCGTAGATGTGTTACCCAGTTTCCAAGTTTTCTTCCAGTGGGCGAGTAGACTCTGAGAAGGATCATTGTATTTAAATGTGTATTTGATTCCATAGTGCAAGTCGTAAAAATTATTTTATTTCCTTGATTTGATTACCGGATGATTACGAGCATAACTATAGAACTCCCCTGATGAGTATTGTTTATACAATGGTCATTCTGTTTGAACCAGAGAATTCGCTGGGTCTCGTTGCACAGAAATAATGAAGTGTTGCACGTTCACTTCGGGTGAGAAATTTTCTGTCAGGAAAGGTTCTGGGTCCAGAAACAGTTTAAGGATCTTGAAATAAATGTGGTTTCTTGTCTAGCTGAAACATTGGTGGACTTCCTCCTGTTGAAAATCCTCGTGTTTACAATACGAGTCATTAAACGCAAGTGCACAGTAAACAGCCGTCATGATTGTAATAGTAGTAGGAGTAGTAATACGCACGGAACTGGGAACACAAACCACGTAATAGGAATCACAGGACACGAATCAAGGATCAACTATCATGCATTAGATTACGGAAGCACTGGACCGCAATATCCCACGTGAACCAGACGCGAGGAGAAGATCACAAGAACGGTAGTAATTCGTTTATTGAAAGAAATGAAGGTGATAAGATAATGTACCAAAGAATATCATTGCTTGTCTAGGCTTCCACCAA